CCTGTCCCCAATCCCCTGGGAACCACAGGGCCACCTGTGGCTTTTGGCCTTTTCTAGAATGTCATGTACCCAGGGGCTTCAAAAAGTTCACGGAAGAGTAGAATTGAAAGATAATGGATGCTTCCAAAATTTTTTTGAAAGCCCCCCCACAGATGGAATCGGGCCGTCCGTAGCGTTTTATGCCCAGCCTCTTGCATGTAGCATCATGCCTTTGAGACGGGTCCAGTGGTTGGCTCCTTTGTATTGGCTACGTTACGTAGTAGTTCACTCGTGGCATGTATCAGAGTTGATCTGCTTATCCCACAAAGAACAATCGGGTTGTTTCTGGTGCGAGGCAACTATGAATGAAGCTACCGTGAGCACCCAGCCCTTGCTTTGTATGTAACCATGACTCCCCCCACCCCACCCCACCCCCCGTAGGGTGAAACACCCAGGAGCATAATTGCCAGGTAGGCTTAGCTTCATAAGAAACTGTCCAACTGTTTTCCAAAGTGACTGACCTTTTTCGATTCCCACCATGTGGTAGTTACATAATCTGCTGTCCACTTGTGGAGGGGTGGAGTCTAGCCTGTCAATCAGGTCGCAGCTTGATGACCTCATGTGGAGGCACGAAGGAGATAAACAGCTCTCTGGAGGTGGGGCACACACTCACTCCCTGTGAGACGTTCCTGCTGACAAGACACATGGAGCTATGCTAGAGACCTGGAGCTGAAGGAGCCACGTGGAGACCCTTGTCAGCACTGAGATGTTCCCACTGCCACTGGATCCACAAGACTTCCCACCCACTGGCCTGTGATCTTCCTGTACTCGGCATCATTCCATGTGTTCCATGAGCCTAAAGAGGAATTTATAGATTGGTATCAGACATAGGAAACTAATATCGGACTTATGGACTTGATCTGGACTGGGCTGGGATGTTTTCTCAATATTCAGTTGCTCTTGTATTTAAAGCTCTTTCAGAGACACACACCAGTGTCTATGAATTTGTTTCTCTAGTAGACCCAGACTAACAGGCACCAGCAATGTACAGGATTCCTCTGCATTCACTAGACCTTGGCCTTGTCAGTCATTTTTATTTCGGTCCTTCTGAACAATGGAGCTCGGTGGTTGTACTAGGTTAGGCACTGGGCTGCAGACTCAGCAGTTAGAAACCACTGGCTGTTCCCCAGGAGACAGATGAGGCTTTCTTCTTCTGTAAAGATGTGCAGTTTCTGGAGCCTGCAGGAGCAGCCCTACCCTGTCCCATAAGGTAGAGTCACTATCGGTGGGAATCAGTGACAGTTCGTTGGAGCCTGAGTTTGAAAAGGTATGTAGCCACCTGGCCAACCCACTGGAAAGGATCTGTATTTATGGGAATGCCAAAGACAAGTGTCCTAACAGAACACAGAAGTTGTTGAACAATACCATTAATATCAGGTGCAAATGGAATTTTGTGGAAGATAAGTCAAAAGCAGCTGCAGAAGTACATCAGTAGGGAGCTGCCAGAAATTCAAGCCCAGTTCAGAAGAGGACATGGAACAAGGGCTAGGATTGCTGACGTCAGATGGATCTTGGCTGAAAGCAGAGACTATCAGAATGGTGTTTGTGTTT